CCCCAAAACCCCAAAACCCCAAAACCCCAAAACCCCATCACTAGTGACATCATATGATTCTTCTATGTGCTCAAATAAAATAAATCTTATCATTACAAACATCATATTAAATTATAAAAGGCTAATGGAGGATATTCTCTTTGATCTTAAACAGAAATTTGCTCAGAAGGGCAATAAGTTAACACTAGATTAGCTTAAATAAAGTATCTTCACTTTATTGATAACTAACTGTAATAGTATTGAGTGAAAATGCTAGTTTTGAATAGAATCTACTTGGTCAGAATGTGAATAAGTACTTTGACGTACTTGATAAAGACAAGGATGGATATCTTAATTTCTCTGATTTAGTGTCACCAGTACTGCCAATTCTTGATCAAAGCTTCGTATTTTCTCTGCTATAGGTAGTATTTCAGGAACTTAATGCTTTTAGGGAGAGAGAATTACAACAGAGCAAATAACTACACTCAGGAATCTTTTTACATAGACTAGTAACGGAGGCAAAGTGTGCTAACTTGGGGATTTGCTAGATGCATCAGCTTTGCTTTAAGATCCTTCAATAGCTATCCTGCTTGGTCAAATGCTTTAAACATTCCAAAACAAAGATTCAATTGATGAGACTGAATTCTCAAATGCCATTATGAGACTGGAGAAGCGATTACTCTAGTTCGTGACTGGAAGTGCATATTTGGTTGGAAATAGAAATCTCCATGAATTTACATTGAGTCTTAAAGACTACAGCAAGATTGGTGAAGTAGGGGGTTAAGATGAAGTATAGGACAATGCTCATGAGGAAGAGTAGCTAGATGACATTACAAACTTAAATACAATTACTGATTTGATTAAAAAGGCCAAAGTAAATTAATCGTAGCAGTAAGTGGCCAAGTCACTCTCAAGAAAGGAGGTGAGTGCTTTAGAAACTCTGTAGATGAACTATAGTATAATTTAAAGTGAGAACTCTGTATTAAGAGCCTAAAACTAAGATCTTTTAGAGTACAAAGTTAAATTCGAAAAACTATAAGACGATATCTAAAACGGGCTAATATCTTCAGCAATTGATGGTAAATAGATACTCTAAGAGTTCAAAGAGCAAAATGAAAACCAATTGAAACTGATAGAAACTCTTAAGAATGAACTGGAAAGAATTAAGAAGGAAAATGATATATATAAAAGATTTAATAAAAGCTAAAGAAAGGATAATAAGAGTGACGTATTGTAGAAGTTGATTGAAAAGAGTGAGTAGGAGTGTGTGGATTTGAAGAATGTGCAACTGAAAAAGATCGCTAAGATGGAAGAAGATTTAAACAAGTAAATAACTCAAGATGAAGATGACTTTGGAATCAGTTCTAGAAGTGAGGTAGTCCTAGAGAAATCTACTGATGTTTCAACATTGAAAAATGTCTTTGAAGGCCCTGCCGCCTAAGAGCAAGCACTTTAAAAGAGAATTAGTTAAGTAGAAGTTGAGCTCATCAAATCTAAGAACCTTGTTGATAAGAGACTAAGTGAGACTGACATTAAGTTAGGAGACTTGAAGAAAATATAAGAAAGTTCTGAGTTGTAAGATATACCTGAGGATGAGGAGACAAAGGAAGAAGTGGTACTCTCGCTTAATGATAAACTTAGAGAACTCGGTAAACTTGGACTGAACCCCATTTAATATCAGCTTGAAAGAATGCTTCTTGACTAATAAAGCTAGAGATTTGATAATGTTTAGCCTTATCTGATTAAACTAAACTAAGAGTAATTGGTGTCTCAATTCTCAGAAGAGGAAAATATGTTGATTTCACATAACATGAAGACAGCAGCTCAAGAAGAGCTCCATGAATCAGTTTATATTGTGAGAGGAAACAACAGCACATTTAAGATTAATTCAAAGCAAAAGAAGCAAGATATCACAGTGATAGTAACAAGTAAGTAAGAAATTGCCTAATACTTTTATAGAGTCGCATCTTTATGTATTAAGGTCAGATTTCGAGATCGAGGATCTGTTACCTTTGACAAACGTTGAGTCAGTGATCCTTTCAACTGATCAACATTAAGTATTGGCTGTTCATTCAATTGATAGGTGAGTATAGCTGGCATATCTCATAATACTTTTATAGGCCAGATGTATTGCTTGAAGTTGGAAACAAGAGAACTGAACTAGTCTCAGTGCTTTTGCAAGTATTTGAAACAAGCAGTCTACCAAGATTCAAAATCTATGCTTCAAAGACTATACTTATTAAGGAGGAATTCGATGTTCATGAAGCCAAGCCAGTAAAGCTAAACAAGAACGATGATGAAGAGTCAAAGGATGAGGCAGAGGAGTAGGATGCTGAAATATCGAATGAGATGCCAGCTGAGAACTTCTTCCAGCAAATGTACAGGAACTCCTACCATGAAGTAGACAAGTATCACAAGTAGTATGATGACTTGAGGAACTTGCTGCTCAAGCTGGACAAGACTTTCACTCAAAAGATGGTTGATGATATTTATCTCAGATGCGTTAGGGTGGGCATGATAATGAAGAAAACCTAGAAGATGTTCAAGGGATGGACTCAGAAGTTCTGTGTGATTACCAACGCTGGAATGGTCTACTTCAACACTCAGAAGAAAGGAGATCTCGACCCTAGAAAATTCTACCCTCTTAATGACTTCTAAATCAAAGAAGTTGATGAGAAAGTAAGCATTACTAATTTTAACAAAGTTAACAGACTGCCAAGAGGAAATTCGCATTCAAGATAATCTTTGAAAGAAAAGAGATATGCAAGGAATTGCTGTTGGCTGCTCTCACTCAAGCCGAGAAGGATCAGTGGATCATTGCCTTGAAGGAGCACTAGAGACAGTTGTACGATGCTAGAATCTAGGTATTCCAGCATAAACTATAAGAACTCAAAGCGCAGCAGCATTGAAGGGCTTATTAGTATTTTTATTATCTGGATTATTACTCTATTTATTAAATCAGTTTAGTTTTTACATTGTGGGGTTTTGGGGTTTTGGGGGTTTTGGGGTTTTGGGGTTTTGGGG